CGATAGAGTGATTATACAATAACATTAATAATTAAGTAAATTATAATCTGGAGAGATACATTGTACTGTGAAATTATATAAGAACTGAGCCTGACCTAGTCTGAGGGCTCAAGAAATGCTTCTCTGAGAAGATGCTAGTGAGGCTTAAACCCTGCAGGATAAGTAAAAGCCAGACAACTAAACTAGGGACGTCTGGGAGTGGACCATAACAGGTAGTGGGAGAAGAATGTGGAAATGACCCAGAACATGAAGGATGTGATGTGATGGAAAGAAAAAGGATCAGTGTGTTTGGAGTATAGAAAGTGAGGATAAAACCTATAGAGGCAGGTAGAGGAGGTCATTCAGGATCTTGTATATTTCAGTAAGAATTTCATTCTCAGAGCAGGAATAACTCATGGGCATGTAGATCACAAATAAAGCTATAAAAGTGAATCAGCTATGCTAAGGGGAGAGTGTAGAAGGACAGGAAGCCCTAGGACTGAGCCATGAAACATCCCACCCTTTAAAATTCAGTAGAAGATAAAGAGCTAGAGAAAGAGATTGATAAGGAACAGCTAGCGAGATAGAAAAAAACTGATAGAGTGTCACAAAAGGGAAGGGAAGGGAAGGGAAGAGAGCGTTTCCAGAAGGCGAGCCTACTTTCCAGGACTGTTCTGAATGCTACTGAGAGGTCGAGTAAGAAGGAACGGAAAGGTTTCCATTGAATTTAGCAACATAGAACTAATTAATGACGTTGATAAAGGGCAGTCTCAGGAAACAGTGGAGAATGAGGTGAGAAATCAGAGTGGTATAGAGAGATGGAAGAGTGAATAAGAGGTGTGAAAATGGAGACAGTATGGAAATATGATTCTCTCAAGAAGAGTGACTTTGAAGGGATAGAGGAAGTTAAGCAGCTGGAGGGAGAGGCTGGATGAAGACAGAATTGATTTTTCATTTATTTTGAAGGTGTGCTGTGAAGGATCCTGTAGAAAGAAGGAGGTTAAAGACACAGGAGAGAAAAGAGAATAGACAATTCACGGTCTCAAGGAAACCAGGTGGATAGGATCTTGTAATAGAAGATGATGAGGGTAAGTAGGGGAATTTTTGGCAGGAATGGGAAAGAGGTTACTGAGCCCTCATCTGATGACTTCTATCATCTCTATCAAGTAGAAGATGAGGTCAGAGAAGATTTAAAACAGTTACTCTGGGGAAGAAGAGAACACACTGCTGGGATTGTTCAGTA